AAAACAGCGGAGAAGTAACGGGCAGAAATCCTCCTTTTTACGCAGGGGTCCAGACATAGACATCAAACGGCGACACATATTCAGTTGCCAGTTACTTTGGCATTAGGGCAGGGATATCTAGATACTTTCCAAGGTTTGACATAATGAATTGTGCTACTTTTAAAGCAAGCAGCGATGTTTTCAAATCGGTAATCAAAAAGCTCCTCAAAAACGCTATCGAAGCAGTTCCTGCCGTTGCTACGTTAGTTCAAACAGTAACAACTGACTATTTTTCTTAGCGGATGCATCTCAATTTAAATCAATACAACTATTTTTTAAATCAATAAAATCATTTTCTAAATCCACAAAAGCATTTCAATTAATATTGGGAGTCATAATGTTACTTTGTTGAGAATGTGGCCATGTAATAAGCGGGATAATGTGCAGCGACTTGGTCATTATGGGGAAAAGAACACCTTCATGCCGATCTAGACCTCCGCTTCGCTTCGGGCTCATGGTCGGGCTCCTGATCAGCCTGTCGGTGTTCTTTTCCCCATAATGACCGCATCGCAGTACAATACCCCTACATGTAGATGGTCTGCAAATAAATAAATAAACATTAAAGAAAATACAAATACAGATGTGAATATTAATTCATATCTGGGCCGCTAAACTTTAAATTAGGTCAACATTTAATTATATTATGGTAAAATACGATTTTGAATTCACTAAATAATTATTTAGCGGTAACGTGATTACCCACCGTAATAATAATGCATTAAAAAAAAATTGCTTTACTAAGTGCCTGCATATTAAATGGTAACACACTAGTTTCCTCTGCGGTCTACCCTGACATTTTGAAAAGTTCAAATGGAGTCCAAACCAAATAAAGCAACAAAACAATCTTCTAACAAATCAAATGCTTTACTGTGGTCCGAACAGCAGTGGGTTGGATATATCTGGCTTACACATTATTTTATAGTTCTAAGAACTTAGCCCACAAACATTGCATGATAAGCCTTAACGTTTTATAGTAGTAAAAGCTTGAACAAATAAGAATATGAATAATAAAACTGTGTTCATTGTGAGGGTTTTTACAGTGCATCAGTTTAATTGAGTAATCAATATGAGGTTTACAGAATCAAAACAAAGCTGTAAATTAGCTTTTGTGAGGTAATCAATTTCCTAGAATGAAGTACAGATTTAATTAGTCGTTGTTGTTCTCTTTTGAATACATTTCAGACAACGTGTCAATAAGTCCCTAAGTGTGATAGAGATTAAATGCCATTACAAACCTATGCTTGCTGATGATTCCAGGACACCAAGTTCACTATAAACCTCTGATTTCACCTGGGCAGGTATCTCCACCATGTCAGCCCTACGTGTGCAGGAAGCAGCTCTGCAGGCTGTGTGTAATAATGTAGGGCAATAAACATAAGGGTTAATTACAGGTGAGTGCGTCTGAGTGGAGATTAGCACGGCGGGACACACAGAGGGTACAGCATGGATAATAATGTGGTATAATCACGTAAGGCCATAAGTAGAGGGGGCGACACCCTGGCCTGTCTCAACGGGCTCAGGTGGGATGTAGAGAGCGAATAAAGGGCTTTCATGTCACTTCATTTACTGTCTGGTGGTCCTCTGGGAGCAGCTGCCTGTGTTTCTGTCTGTCTCCACAGCTGACCAGACATTGCACAGAAAACGGTGACAAATTAAATGCATTGTCAACAGATTTCGCACAACTGTATTAGGTTAGTTGAACATTTAATATTACGCTTAAATCAAAAATATTAGGTTCAACTTAATATTATTGCTTTCAACTTACCTAATACTGTTATGTGCAATGTTGTGACATAATACATTTAATTAAAGTCAATTTTCAGTGTGCTATGTCTTTCTGTGACTAAGAACCAAGTCATTACAATGCTTAATGCCAATGTCTTGTTCATAAATTCAAACTGTTATTCACAAGAAGATGGAAAACACTCTCATGTCATCACGGTTATAACATTGACAAAACATTATTGGTACCCGACCAGCATCAGTGATATTAGTGAGAAGAGCTGCCTGCTTAGATCTCAAAGGTTATTAAAAGACCATTACCCCCCAGCAGGGCCTGTGTACCCTGCTATATGCAGTGAGATACAGAAGTCTGCTGCTTCACCTCTACGGAGCAGTTTCTTCTACAACTTCCTATTGTGCTTAACCCTAACTTCATCGCAGAATGAAAACTCATGTTTCAACTGCACCTTGGTGAATAAAACCTTACATGACATTACACTTGTACACTAGACACTTTTATCCAAAGCGAATTACATACTCAATACTGTGGGCAATCCCCACGTAAACAAAGTATCCATAAGTGTCCAGGCCAAGCCCCCCCATAGTGGCCAATGGTGGTACTACAACTTCCGGGTCAGTGACCTGACACCATTGGGATACTTTCTCCCATGGATTTACATTAGGAATAAACAGGGCCCAAATAAATGAAAACTAGCATAGCTTTGTCCAAAGTTCTGGGCAATATCTTGTGCAGTTGCCAAGCAAATATCCAGGAAAGTACTGGTCAGCATGTTCGTCAAAATGTTTAACATTTTCAACAAGACATGTATTTAACACATTAGCAAAACGTGGTGTTAAATTTTGAAGCAACAATTCATGTTACTTCAAGTTACATAAAAAATGAAATACATCACATGTTCCTGTGGACACAGACCAAGCACAGTAGGGCAGATCTCTTAAATGACTTGAACAAACAATCAGCCATGTAACATTTACCCTTGTTCAGAGGTGGTTCTGCAATTAGTTTTAATAGGTGAGCAACTTCTTTTCCAGTTCAGTTTAATGAGTCTGTTGGATGAAACCAAAATGTAAGCAGTGAAAGAGGGGGGGTCAAACAAGCTACAGGTTACTAATCCATATCGGCCACAAACAAGAATGCTGATTGTTGTCTACCAGAAGGTTACAGAAAAGCCATGAATTGGAGCAACAAATTACACTTATGTGTAGGTCCAGACTGCTTTACATGTCATGTCCATCTGAAGCTCATATTTATACCAGAAGTTATTTCAGGCAGTTATTCCTCTTGGATTTTCCAATTCATTGGCAAATTTAATTAAATTGTTTCATTCCATCTATTGATTTGATTCTTCAACCCGGTCTCACGGCATTTCGTGTTATAGTCACAAATGTAATCTATTGATTCGTGTTCATCAACACGATTTCGCCATTTTCTTCGTGTCACATAGAACGATTTTAAAAGCAATGTAAATAATAAAAAATCAGAAGGAAAAACAGATAAAAAAAATAAAGATTTCAGCATTCTGACACAGAACTATTTTAGAAGCAATGTATTTCTATTATGTTTCGTGCCTGCACCAAATAATAACAAATTAGAAGGAAAAAAAGCTGACAAAAAATACAGATTTCAGTATTCTGAGGCTCTGAGCCCCATTTATTTTCCTCGCGGACAGCAAAAAAGCTCAGACATTAAACAATTTAAAATAAAAGGGATGGGGTTAGGCTTAGGGTAAGATATTGAGTAAGAAAATGTTTTTATGAACCAAACAGCTTCTGGTATGCCAAGACCCAAAGCTGTGGGGTTCATCAAAACATCTTCTTACTCAATATCAAGCCACAATTATTGTTTTTATTTTAAATCGTATAATGTCAGACTTTTTTTGTCGTCTGTGNTTTTTTAATTCAAAATACCGAACAGATCCTGCATTTTAGTCATGCCTCATTTCGCTCTATTTGCTCTTTCCATCCCTGTTTTTGCAGGGGGCTGATTCTGAGAATCAGCCCCCTGCAAAAACAGGGATGGAAAGAGCAAATAGAGCGAAATGAGGCATGACTAAAATGCAGGATCTGTTCGGTATTTTGAATTAAAAAAAAATATTGATATACTTTATATAGGTTTGGCCCTAAAATATCCAGTCCAAGTAAAGTTCCAAGTATTGGAACTGCAGTTCAAGTCAAGTCGTTGAGCTAGAGACCTCTTACAGGACTTTCTGCGACTCTTCAACCAAACTTGAATCCCCATCTGTGTTACTTATGTATAGACCCATGAACAAAATACATTTCACAGTGTCTTGTATGTATCTTTTTAAATGAACTAAGTATGTCATCCTAAAATCAAAAGTGAGACTAATTTCAATCCCATTGGCCTTTAAATTATACAATTCTCTGTTATGACATGTATTTATCCAGTGAAATGTGATGCTAAATGAGCCTTATGCTGAATCATCATTCTGTATGTTGGCCATCTTGGTTCCAGGTGACGAGGTGTTGCAGTGGAATGGAAAGTCGTTGCCGGGAGCAACAAAGAAAGAAGTGTACAACATTATCCTTGAATCCAAGGCTGAACCTCAAGTGGAAATAGTTGTTTCAAGGCCTATAGGGTAAGATTATCATTACAACATGTAATAACTATCATTAAAGTACTTGAGTGACTGCAATAACAGACACTTTTTAAAAATGTTCTTCCTTTATCTCAAAGCTCTATCAACCAAATTATGTCCAAAAACTTCTTGAGAAAAGTGTATAGAGCCTATCAGTAAGTAGTGTTGGGTGGAGCCCTATGTTGGAGCCCCTTTCCTTCATGCCTTCCCTGACATCCTGAAATCAGAAAGATAAATCACTTTTTCAACATATCATACCCAAATTACCCAGTGTTTAACATGTAAATGTCTATTTGCTCGACTGCTCGCCCTTCTTCTACCATTGTGTTCCTTAAATCTTACCCATTCATTTTCCAAAGATGAATGTAAAGTCCTAACTGTGTTTTTCCATTGCAATTATGTTTATTCTGTGTATTTGAAATTGAAGAATTCACTGGGTCTTTTATTCACTTTTTGCAGCGACATCCCAAGAATCCCAGAGTCCTCCCACCCTCCTCTAGAATCTAGTAAGTGTTAATATGAGCTGTATGATCTTTAATGACATAAAATAAAACGATAGTTACGTATGTAACTACGGTTCTATTAATTCGTAACTATGAATTCTGGATGATGGCCAGAGGCAGTGCTTAACACTGGATGTTATCCATCTCGTGCATGCGCAGGTCAAGTATTAAAATCAACAAAGTCACATGTGACCTGGGGTGACGTAGGGCAGCCCCGCCCATATCAGCCCAGGTCACTGTCAGAAATGTCCCAATGCTAACTTCTCGCCAAGATTCCGATTGACAGAGAACTCCGGCGGTCATCCAGAATTAATAGAACCATAGTTACATACGTAACTATGGTTCTATTTAATTCTTACTGACTGCCAGAGGCAGTGCTTAACACTTTGATAAAAAATATGTGTTAGGCCAAAGTGCCACCCCTGTTCCACCTGTGTACCAGCTTATGCACGTTTCACTCGCTGACAAGGCGTGAAGCTCACTCACACGCTTGGCAGATGCCATCGCTAAATTAAAAGCGGCCTTTGCCGAAAGCCATTTAAGCTCTGCCTGCTCCAGAGGTTCAAATGTTGGGGAAAGGACGGCTTCCAGGACCAAGTCCCGTCTCCGGGGCAGGCACCATGGATCTCCTTCCAGTAGCCTGTACATCGCTGGAAACCAGAGTCTCCCTGTCCAGTTTGGGGCACCCAACAGAAGCATGTGGTTGCCTCGGTGAACCCTGTGTAGAGTTGCCCCTATCAGCGGAAACGGTGGAAATGCATAAAGGAGCCAATCTGGCCATGGAAACATGTCCCAATGGACTGGTTGTCTCCATCAGTGAGAACCAAAGAGGGAGATAAAAGGTTACTTCTGAGCGAAAGCACTCACCAGAAAATAAGCTCCCCAGACTCATACTAGAGTCTGGAACTTAACTGTAATCAAAAAATTACCCTAACCCTAACCTACTGGGGCTTTACCATGGCGGGGCTCTTCGGTATAATAGTTCTCTCAACTATTACTCTATATAGGCGGGGCTGGCTATGTGACTTTGTTGATATTAAATACATGACCTGCGCATGCGTGAGATGGATACAATCCAGTGTTAAGCATAGGCAGTAAGAATGAAATTGAACCTTATTTTTCGAGTAAAAAAAAGGAAAAACGTTTTAATTATGGGTTGAGAAACAGGCCAAATTTGACCGTTGGACGACAACAAGGTTGTGATTTCTCTGTGATTTCTAACAACAACTGTCATCTATAACAGCAGGCTCCAGTTCCTTTGAGTCGCAAAAGATGGACCGACCCTCTATATCGGTGATGTCCCCGACCAGCCCTGGGACCCTCAGAGACCTTCCTGTAGTACTGCCTGGACAGCTCTCTGTGAGTATCTGAAAGGGCAGCAGGGATGGGAGGAGTTACTTAAAAAATGTATTCCATTACAATTTAGGGCTGCAACAAACGACTAATTTGATAATCGATTAATCTGTAGATTATTTCTACGATGAATTGATTAATTGAATAAAAAACGTTCCATTATTTTATTCAGAAAACTGCATTTCCAAATTGACAACATCAACAACCCAAATGTAGTCTATAAAACATATGCAAAAGCTATATAACAGCTTGTTTTGAACAAAAAATACATCTCTTTAGGTTGCTCGAACAAAAACAATATTTTTCAAATTATCAACAATGATAACTAACCCAACTGTTTTAAAAAGAAAATGCTTTAATGGACCTGAGCTGTAATAAATAATAATACATTATACAACATTTTATATTATAAAAAAATTATAATAAAATTGTAAATCACAAACAAAAAGTGTTAACAGGCTTTGCTACAACAAATAAATGAAATGAACAATAGATTGTCTCTGCAGTTACAGTTTCTTACACACACATAAATACAGCACACAGTGTCTCAACCCAACCTATTTTCTGCAAATGTGCAAACAATAAATTGGCATAGTTTAAATAAGTTAAAATAAGTCAAGTTAGTCCTTAGTTTGTTTAGTATTTGGCCGTGTAATAAGCCGGATAATATGCAGCGAGCCGGTCATTATTGAAAAAAAAAACTGACAGTATGATCACAGAGACTGACGCGAAACGGAGGGATCTTTGTCGGGTGTTTTTTAGACACTTTTTACTGTTGTTTAAAGTGAAGTGCTCCCATGCTGTTGAAGATTTTAGTCGGACCGTGCTTCTCTAGGCCTCCGCCATTTTTGGAATGTTTTTTTTTCTTCGAGTGAAGTAGCCAGCTCCGCAAACAGAAAGTAACAACATAGACCCAACGAATCGACGACTGAATTAGTTGTCAACTAATTTGGTCATTGATTTTAATCGATTAAGTCCATTAGTTGTTGCACACCTATTACAATTACTAGTTACCTGAAAACTATGTAGCCAGTAACATAATCTCCAAATCAACATATAAACCTGATTACTTTCTCTAACCTTTGGATTATCTCAATATAAAATGCAATGCAAAGTATTCAAAGAGAAAAGAGAAATACCAATATGAGTTTTTTTTTACTTAAATGTATTATGTAAGACAACATAACAATGTGTCTCTATGAAAGAATACACCACGATATTACATTTTAATCCTCCTAGCAATTTCTAAACGTTTAGTAACTGTACTCTGATTACATCTTGTTTTTATTTAACTGTAACGGAATCTAAGTACTTTTTTATTTGTATCCAGCCAACGTTATCCCAAGCCTGAATATGAAGTGTGGGTTTCATGCGTTTGCATACTTGCTGTATATGTACAGGATAGAGGCTTAAGGTCTTCACACGTTTACAGGTTAAGCTGTGGTACGACAAAGTGGGCCATCAATTGATCGTCAACGTCCTTCAAGCCATAGACCTGCCAACCCGACCAGACGGACGACCTCGGAACCCCTATGTCAAGATGTACTTCTTGCCTGATAGGAGGTAGGTACTTTATATTCATTGTCTTTAATGTGAGGGTCCATCTCCCATGTGCAGTCCACCCGTTATTACTAGTGGTGTCATTGTTAACGTTTGCGATTAATTTGAACTTTACTATGTTAAAAAAAAACGTAAATTGATTAAATTACTTTTTATTATAATTATTATTACTTTTGATCCCAACTGCCTCTCGTAATTCTAGCATTGATTTTTACCATGAAATGGAAGGCAGTGAAAAATGCAAAGCAAAATGCAAATTGTCAGACTTCATGCCAATAACTCAATAATCATGATATAATAAACAAAAGAGAAATGTCTGATTTCTCTTTTTCCAGTTTGTCATGAATTTCTTTAATATAACACCACACTTTAAAACAAGTTAATATTAGTATTAAAAAATGATTATTATTTTGATTAACGCAATTACATTTTTTAATTGATGGAGACCACTAGTAATTACCCAAATGACATACGAGTATCATAAAAGACATAAGGAATATTATCAGAGGAACCTCTATCTTGTCATTCAATCATGTTATTTTAAAGAAGTACTGTCTTTGTTCAGAAACATGCTTATCCCTATTCATTGAAATTCTGTGTGTACACGCCTTTGTTACAGTGATAAGAGTAAACGACGGACTAAAACAGTGAAGAAGAATGCTGAGCCCAAGTGGAACCAGACCTTCTTGTATTCCCACGTTCACCGGCGGGACTTCAGAGAACGCATGCTGGAGATCACGGTCTGGGACCAGCCCAGGGTCCAGGAGGAGGAGAGTGAATTCTTAGGAGAGGTGGGACACATAACAGCATACTATTTCACTGTTTCTGTTAAATGACATGTATTCCTTATAACAATGCTCATAAATTTTTTTTTCTTGGATTAAACATTAAACAGGATGTGCAATTTGCTAAAGCCTTGATCCTGCTACTAATGGTATCACGCAATTAAGTGTTCATTGTCAGGTAATAAGATTCAAAGGTATTGGTTAGAAGGGGCCTGTCTTGTTCAGAACAGCATTATCATATTCACATGTTTGCCTACCAATGTGACTACAGGAAGTCTGTGACCTGTAGTAGGAGTATTTATTATAAATGGAGCTAAGAAGGGATTTTGGTGACAGTTAGGGTTAGGGGATGAAAATCATTCAAATCAGCTTAGGATAGGTGGGAAGGAAGGGGCTTTTGTGTCCCATGTGAAACCAAGTCAAATTATTTTCACGAACAAAGCTACATAAGAAAGGTTACGTTGTGTACGTAAAAAGCAAACACTGGCAATACGTGGTTATGACACACCGGCAGATGTTATTTATTTGGGTCTGCTCTGGTGAAACTACACTTTTCCATGGATGGGCTTAACCCTCCGCCTCCGGTATCATTCGATTGGACTACGCAAATTAGTCATTCGAGACAAAAATGTCTACTGCAAAAGACTTTGATAAAAACATTATATTAAAAGGTTTTTTTCACAACTTTTTTGGGTTCAATCTTTAAAGCAACTTCCGCCCTAATAGAAAATACCAAAAATGTAATCATTGTCAGGATTTTAACCCTTTAAATGCCATTTTGAATACATGAAACCGCTGTTTTTTTTCATGATGAAAACAGAGAAAATGAGTTATTTTCCAAAAAATACATATCTGATGACTGGCTCTTCTTTTTTTATAACAGTCTTGGATATGTCAAAGATTAGCAGCAAAATTGATTTTTTTGCTTTATTAGTTTTTGCACAAAATCAGATTGAACAAAAAAGTTACATATTAATCATTCGGGACAAAAATATCCTCTTCCAAAAACTACTCTAAAATGACAACAGGTTAATATTTTTTAAAACTTTTTGGGGTTAAATCTTTCAATCAACTTCAGTCCTGATCAAAAATACCAAATGTTAAATTATGTTCAGGATTTTAACCCTTGAACTGCCGGTTTGAAAACATGAATTTGCGTTTTCTATGAAAAACATGCACAAAAAGGCAGTTATTTTCCATATAATAAATGTTGGGGGGGTCGGCTTTTTTTTTTTTTTATCACAGTCTTGGATATGTCAAAGATTAGCAACAACATTTATTTTGGTGGATTATTAGTTTTTGCACAGAATCAGATTAAACAAAAAACTCACACATTAGCCACTCGTGTCCCATACACTCCCATTATAACCACATATTTTGATCTCTCCGCCATACCGGTATAAAATCATGCATTTTGTAATGTCAGGGTTTTATATTGGAGGAAAATAGTTCAATTTGTCCTTTTTATTGTATATCACCAGATGTGACATTTTACCATTTAATTACATGCTTGTCATTTCTTGGGGCCCTGACAGTCATTGGAATACATGTATGCAACTAATATGATGTAGGTGTGTTGGTATGGATGTGGAAGAGTGGTATCAGCTGAGAAATGTGTGTGTCTGGATGTACAGTGTGTGTGTACAGAGACAACAATATACAGTAGATTTGGATTACAGCAAGTCGCAGTTTTCGCCTCATATCTTTCTTTCTTTCTCTCTCTCTTTTTCTCTCACTCCCTCATTCCCAAACTCATACACACTCTTACAT